GGTAAAGTGAACTGTAGGTGAACCTGCCTAAGGTTTGGGGAGTTACTGCCGCTAGGTTTCTTAGACATGGCAGAGGAAGCTGGAGGTGGCAAGACCACTCCATTTTCTCTGCTTTCACCAAGTTCCGGGCTCAGATGTGGCAGCGACACCAAGGTGGTAATAGAACCAGGAACCCCTTGTTCTAGTGCCTGCTACTGTCTAAGGCTGGGATGTCTGTAAGCAGCCTTGCAGCCTTACTCTCTGCCTTTCCTCTTTCCAGGCCTGACAGGCTGTCCCCTCCTTCCCTAGGCTGCCTCTGCCACCTCTGTCCTGGACCCCATCCCCTCTTGTCCCCTGTGACTATCCTTTCTCTGCATCCTCATCTTTACTCTCCTGGGCTATTTGCATCAGCTCACAAACATGCTACACAATTTCTCATGTCTTTTAAGAGATTATCCCTCTACTTCTTAACAACTCCAAGCTACCACTCTGTTTATTTGCTTCCCTTTATATCACAAAACTCCTCATATCTGCCTCTTGCTTTCTCCCCTACCATTCTCTCAGTCCTCTTCTCTGGCTTACGCTTCTGTCTCATCACAAATTGCTCTTGTCAAGGCCACCACCAACCTGTCTTGCCAAATGTATGGTCACTTCTGTTTTTTTCCCTACTTCATCCTTTTTTTTTTTCATTAATCCTCAACCCAAGGATATTTTCCATTGATTTTTAGAGAGAGTGGAAAGGAGGGGGGGAAGAAAGAGAGAGAGAGAGAAACAGAAACATAGATATGAGTCACATTGATTGGTTGCCTCTCCCACATAAGCCCTGCCCAGAGCTGGGGATAGAACATGCATCCCAGGTATGTGCCCTTGACTGGAAATTGAACCCTTAACACTTTGGTGTGTGGGCTGACACTAACCACTGAGCACACTGGCCAGGCCTTTATCCTATCTTAACTTGCCTGCTCAATAGGACCTGACTCAGCCCATCACTGTCTTAACACTTTCCTTACTTGGCCTCCCACTCACTATCATGGTTTTCTCTTAATCTTACTGGTTGTTGCTTCTCAGTTTACTATGCTGGCCCCTCTTCTAGAGCAGCGGTCGCCAACTGGTGGTTCACGGACCACTGGTGGTCTGTGAGGTCCAAAAGATTGGCAACCGCTGTTCTAGAGCTCTCGGGGGCCCAATCTGGACCCCTTCTCTCTCTGCACGGCCTTAAACACCAACCACAGGTTTATAACTCCCAGATTTATATTCTTGGCCTCAATTCCACCTCTGATTGCCAACCCGCCTTCTAAGTATCCATACCTAAACTTCCCACCCTGTCCATACCTGAACTTCCCACAGATGTCTCGAACAAAACAGAGCTCTGGGTTTGCACCCCCAGACTTCCTTTGTCCATTCTTTACCATTCTCACTTATTCTTACCTTCCTTACCTCTCATAGCCGATTGTCCATCTGCAAGTCCTGCACCCTTCTTCTCAATGTATATCCCAATTCCAGCCCTTTCTCCACTCCCACCTGGTCTTAGGTCACCACCAGTCTTGCCTGGATTACTGAAAGCAGCTCCATGTGTCTCTGCTTTTAGTATTTGTTTCTTTCCATTTACTTTCTGCACAGCAGCAAGACTGATTCTTTCCTTTTTCTTTGTTAAAAAAAACTTGCCATTTTTCTGTTCCTTATCTTTAGTTCAGTTCTCCTTACCTTTATTTTCCTTAACACCTTTAACTGCTCTAAATCTTGGCTATTTGTATCCCCAACTAGAATGAAAACTTGGTGGAGACTGGTATTATGTGCCTGCCATCAGAAGAGTATCTTGTTAATTAAAGATGTTCAATATTTGTTGAACACATAATTACAAGATAGTGAAGGAGTTATTTCTTAGTTCTGGTTGATATGGGTGGAAGGTGTTAAGACTTTGAAGACATTTAAGAGGAAAAATGGGCAGAGAATTGAATGAGTTTAGAAGGCCCACTGGTAGTGAAAATCATGATTGTTCTCTGTGTCCAACACAGATTTATGCTGTCTGATAGCTTATCCCTCAGTAGTCATCTCTCTTAGCTTCCTTTCTCAGCCCATTCCTCATGGGGACTTAGCTCTTCTAGATGTTTTCTGCTCTAGGGCACCCACCACTTGCCCCCAGTGAGTAATCCCATTTCCTGCTTCACAGAGGAAGTATAAGCTGTTAACTCCCTCCATCCATCTTAGGATCCCTCTTGTCCTCACACCGGTGTTTATATAGACTATATGTCCTAACTGTAAACTTGGGTAAGTTTTGTGACCTGAGCGTCCATTTTTCTATTTAAAAAGGGGGGGATATTGCCACCCTCTTGGGCAGTGTGTTGTGTAGAGAGCATGTTTGTTCAGGACTCAGCACAGTGCCTGGCACAGACCTTGTCTCCCCTAGTTCTGCAGGCTTTCACTCTTCCCTTCAAAGTTCCCAGATTGCCTATTAGAAGTATTATTGGGATTTTCCCATTACTATCACTTCTCTCTAATCACATTCTGGCCACTTATAAATAGGTGAGTTTAAAAGTTTTTAAAATCTTTACTTAGCCCTGGCTGGTGTTGCTCAGTGGTCAGAGCATCAACCTGCTCACCAAAGGGTCGCAGGTTCTATTCTCAGTTAAGAGCATGTATCTTGGTTGCAGCTCGATCCCCAGCCCTGGTTGGGTGCATGTGGGAGGCTGCCAATATGTGTGGCTCTCTCACATCAATGTTTCTTTTCCCCACACCCCCCACAACCCCACCCCCTTCCACTCTCTAAAAAATCAATGGAAAGAATATCTTTGGGTGAGGATTAACAAAACAAAAAAACTTTACCTAATTTATACATTTCTTTTGCATCAATATTGTTCCACTCGGGCATTCCTTAATTCTTGCTATCTGGCCTCCACCCTACCAGGAAATGGTGGTCACTTAAATGGCAAGCATCCTTGCTTGGTTTGGGTTATGCTGGAAACAGTGTAATCCCAACTGCCAGGTGGGGCAGTGGTTAGGGAGCCCAGGCTTTTTTCCTTCTCAAGGCCTCTTTTCCCTGGGGCTGCAGGGGGCTTCCTTTCTCCTCAGCCAGCGCTGGAGGCCAAGATCAACCCTTGAGGGTTATTGTCAGGGCTGTCACGAGCTGGGCAGCCTTGTTTTCCTACTTCAGACATTTATTGCTGGAAGCCCCTATCTCACAGGGTATGCTGATCTCACCACCAGACTAGGGCCTTAAGTGGCAGCAGTGGAGATTGGGCCTCTGACTTTCTGTGGATATTGCTAGGCTCTTGTGAACCAATCCTGGCCCAGGTTCCCCAAAAAGTAGCCTTGCCCCCTGCCTGCCTGCCTGCCCCCTAAGCAGGATGTGTGCAGACCCAGTAATTGGTCACCTACTGCAGATATGCCTGCAAGTGAGTGGGGCCTTGCACCTTCTGCCCTCCTATATAAATTGCTTTTGACCCCAGTGGATGGTACCAGGATGGAGGGGGTGGTGGAGGGGGGTGGTTCAAAGATGCAACTTTTATTGTAGAACTAGAAGCCTGGTGCACAAAAGTTTGTGCACTCAGGGAGGTCCCTCAGCCTGGCCTGTACCCTCTTGCAGACCAGGAATTCCTGGGGGATGTCCGACTGACGGCTTAGGCCCAATCCCACAGGGAACAGGCCTAACCCTCAGTCTGGCCTCCCTCTGTGGGAGGCGATTGGCAGGGCAGTCAGGGGAACGGTACCGGCCAGTTAACGGCCAGCACCCCCCACCCCCCATCGCTGTCTCTTCCCTCTGCCTGCTAGCACCTGCCTTGGCTGGCCTGGTGCCGTCCACAAACCGGCCCCACCCCCCACCGACTGGCTGTTCTGTTGTTCAGTCAATTTGCACATTGGGCTTTTATTATATAGGAGGGCATCTAAGGCCCCTAACTCAAAGGAAGTTCACCATTTTTTCCTGCCTGGATTAACTTGGGTGCCAGTCAGGCTGTTCCATCCATCATTTCACAGCCATGTCTCCGGCACAGGGTCCCATACAGGATTGCACGGAGCGGGGTGGTGAGAAAGATGAAGACCCGGGAGTGGGTGCTGGAGAAGAAAGAGCGCCGTAGACGCCAGGGCAAGTGAGTACCTGGGCCAGGGGTAGGCTGCTGTGGATAAAGGGAGGTCTTGACCAGTAAAGGCTCACCTACACTTGAAGAGGTCCCAATAGTACTTTGTTCTTTCTTCTGAAACTCTTCTATTCTTCCTGCCCATTATTTCTTCACAGGGAAGTCAGACCTGACACTCAGTACACCGGCCGCAAGCGCAAGCCCTACTTCTAAGCTGTTAGCTGCACTGAATGGTGGGACAGCTCGGGGTCCACACAGTGGTGAGCTGTGCCATCCAGCTCAGGCACTGCCTCTGGAAAGCTTTATATATTGAAGTATCTACTCCATCAGCTGACAAAAGAGTGTCTAGAAAAGTCTAATAGCCCTGACCAACATGGCTCAGTGGTTAGAGCGGTCTGCACACCAAAAGGTCATGGGTTCGCTCCCCGCCCCTGGTTGGGGTGTGTGCAGGAGGCAGCCAATTGATGTGTCTCTCTCACATCGATGTCTCTCCCTTCCATTGTCTCTGAAGAAGCAATGGAAAAAATATCCTCAGGTGAGGATTAACAACAGCAAAAAACTCTAATACTATTTTCTTCATTAAAGTTCTAACGGCATCTTATTTTGTTGTAAAAGTAATAAACCACTTTCTATGGAACTCTGGCATTTTCCAGCTCTATGGTCCTAAACAAATTTAAGTTCCTCTGATGGTGATAGCTATCACTCGATTCCACGGGTCCAAATTAGAACTTAAGAGTGCTTTTAATACACTTAAAGGAATAGGTAGATTTCTTTAATTTAGGCAAACTTGGGAAGGACGGACAGGAAGAAATGCATCCAAAGTACCTATTGGCCTGAGGGAGGAGGCTGGGGTCATTTGCCTCGAGCCCCTCCCCATGTTGTCACACACATTCACCTTTAAGTCCTAAGGCCATGACACTGTAATAGTAAGAAATCTAGAGCAGAGGCATGGGACAGATACAAATGTTTATTCTACATAAAAATTTCACAAAACAGGCAGCTGGTTGTACCAAGACCTTTGGTGAAGGGGTAAAGGAGGGGAGGGAAGTCGGTAAAGAAGGCAACACGCGGACAGTGGTCACAGTCACTGGACAGGAGCAAAGCTGAGGAAAGGTGGGGCTCAGACATGGCCCCGTCCCCTATTGCATGCACTCGCATGCACACTCCTTGCCTGTCAACAAGGAAGAGAGGGGTCTTGAAGTGAGGGCATGTTTCTGACTTGAGAAGCCCCGAGATGGTGGGGAGGTACCCCTCCCTGGCTGGCTGCTGAATACTGCATCCAAGACACCTGACACTCATGTGGCACATCAGTGGGGAACAGCAAGGGCAGGACATGACTGCAGGCCTGAAGTAACATCTGACTTCCCAGAGCACAAGAGCGGGGACTACTGTCCCAAACATGCAACACACAATGGCTTGAGGACCCGGCTAAGGCCTGCTGGGGAAAATGGCTGGCCCAGGCGGTGGGCTTGGCCTGACAGGTCTGCTCTGTCTCCCTGGCTCTAAGGGTGGCTAGAGACCAGGCACCAGCCAGCCTCTTCCAGAATGTTATCTGGGGTCAGGCATAGCCTGGGGGGAGGGGGGGGTTTGCTCCTGGGGCTCTAGGAATGTGGGGAGGTTGAGGCAGCCGAAGACCTGTTGGACTCTGCCCCTAGATAGGGGAGAGTCTGGCCTTGACACAGCCAGAAGCTACCTGGCCACAGCACCCTGAGCCTCCCTGGCAGTGACTGGCTGTTAGAGGCTTAGAGCTGGGCTGTCTCTCAGGGCCATTCCTCCCCTAACCTGAAAAGCAGCACCATGTGGCCAGCTGATCCCCACCCCTCAGGGGGGTGGGCTTAGGGGGCACAGCTGGAGAGGACAGGATAGATGGTGGGGTCAGCAGGAGGCAAGGTTGGGGTACAGAGAGCCTTGATGCATGGAGAGGGCCGACCCCAGGTCAAGAGTGGAATTACTGAAGGCAGAGGAAGGGAAACATGGCTACCTGGGCAGCTCTGCCTGGGAAGGTGAAGCAGCCGGGCCAGGGCCTGAGTCTGTGCCTTGCTGACCTGATCCCCACCCCGCTGGTTGTTTCCTAGCCTGGCTCCCCTCGGCCTCTTGTACAGACACACACTGTCACAAAGATCATGCACATGACGGCTCAGGGCAGGGTGGGTGTGGAGGGGGCTCCGAGCCACAGGGAGTCAGCAACCAAGGAGCTTCCTTAGTGTGGGCCATCCAGAGTGGAGAGGCAGGTGGGGTAGTTTCTATCCAAAGATCCCTCCAAAGATAGAGGCAATGACAATGCCCAGGACCACACAGCAGATGATGATCATGATCTTCTTCTGCACGAGAGAAGCGGGAAGGAAAGGCCTCAGAGCATGGGAGAGGCTGGAGGTGGGCAGAGCTTCTAGGGGCTCGGGGCTATTGGGAGAGAGGACGGAGGGTTGGAGAGTCTGGGGGATGGTATGGGGGGAAGGTGATGACCGGGAATGGGCCTGAGGATGGTTAACGTGAAGCACTGAAACCTGGGAGAGGTGGGTGAGGTTACGGTAAGAGCTGAGAGGTGGGGCAGAGGCAGAGTGAGGAGGGGTCTGTGATCACTAATGGGTGTGCGGGAAATGTTGGGTAGAGTTGGGGCTACTGACCCGGCGCGCCTTGCTCTGGTACTTGACAGCCTTTTTGGTGTCAGACACGGCCCTCTCCACGTAGTCCACCGACTGCTCCACGTTGTACTCAATCCTGTCAATCATCTCTCCCTGCAGGGCCAGGGGCACCCAAGCTCCAGAGAGCCGCCCTCAGGGTCAGAAGGGGGCTTGAGGCAGGACTTTAGGAAAGTGCCCTGAGATTAGAGAGAGAAAAGGAATGTGAGGAGGATGGGGTACAGCTTCTCACCTGCGTCCTGCAGGCCAGACACCCTGGTAGCTCCGGCCTCTCCCTGCAGAGCAGCCATCCTGGGGAAGGAACTGGCCATGCAGTCTCAGCCAAGGGCATGGGGACCATGCAGAGAACACTCAGCTGGGGCCCTAACCCAGTGCCTGGTGCAGGTGGGCCTGACTGTGGCCACAGATCACAAGGTGACCAGTGAGCCCCCCATTCCATCCCTGGGCCTGACGGTTTTGTCCAGCTCTGTATTTGGTCCCCGCCCCCACTCAGCCCCATAGTTCTCTTGGGCACTGCAATCTGGTCCCATGCAGTAGGCAGAGGCCACTCCGACCATGACGCTGCCCCAAATTCCCAGCAACAGCAAGCTGACAACTGAGAGCTCTCTCTCCAAGTCCATCGCTTCCACAGGCATCCATGTCACCATAATCTCTCACTGGGATGGCAGCAACAACATCCTCATGACCTCCCTGCTTCCCCACTCAGATCACACCCCATACTTACGACCTGCCAATCTAGAAGAGACTTCACCTGCCAAGGCCCCCCTGTCTAGCTCATCTCCAGCTGCCCCTGTGCTCCAGCTGCATGGACCTCCTTTCGCTCCTCAAATATGGCAGGACCGCGGTTGCTGGTCCCTCTACCTGGGCCAGCTCTTCATTCTTCCTCTGGGATGTCTCCAGAGCTCAAACACCACCTCCTCAGAGAGGCCTTCTCTAGGCACCCCATCCAAAGTGGCTTCCATATCAAAATGGTATTCCAAGTGTGACCCTTGGACTAGTAGCATCAGCATCACCCTTGCGCATGTTAGAAATGCAAATTCACAGGCTCTTACCCCCACCTACTAATCTCTGGGAATGGGGATTGAAACAAACAAGGAAACAAGCCCTCCAAGCATTTCTTAGGCACTTTAAACGTTAGAGAACCACTGCTCTATCACCATGCTGCCTTCTAACATCTGAGCACTTGGCACAACTAGAGAATATTCCAGTTGCCATTTACTTACGCTGCCCTTCACCCAACAAACATTAGCTCCAGGAAGCAGGCCCTCAGCTGTCCTGGTCACTGCTCTATCTCCAGCTCCTAGAAAAATGCCCATACACAGTGCCTACATGACAAACAGCTGGTGGATAAGACAGGGGAAGGTGGGTAGGGCCATGCAGGGCCTGGGATCCTGGAGGGCCAAGCAGAGCCATGCAGTGACTGGGGCCTGGTGGCTGAGCCATGCAGAGAGGGGCCTTTAGGTGAGTGAGGCCCTGTAGGCAATTTCAATAGCAGGTGGCTAGTTACCTGAAGACTTGGTCCCTCCCAGGCAGGGCAGCGTGTTGGGCAGAAAGGGTGGGGGTTAGGGCAGACCTGGGTGCTGCCATGGGCTGGGGGGCAGGGCAGTGGGGCCCCAGGCCCTCACCTGGCTCTCCACAAGCATGGCCATGTCCATGAACATGTCGTGCAGCTCACGGATACTGTTCTCCAATTTAATGATCTCACTGTGCCGTGTCTCAATCTCACTCAGGGCCTGCTTCGAGATGCTGGAGTCCATGATGATCTAGGGATGGGAGCAGTGGGCTGGGACCCAGGCAATTGCGGAAGGGGGTGAGAATGGGGACCAGGACAGCAGGAAGCCAACTACAAAGGCAGCTAGGATGAGCAGTGGCCTGTGCAGAATGTTCTGGAAGGAGGGTCTGAGGCTTCTTAACTGCGGCCCTCTCCCCACTTTCTGCTCAGCTCTTACTAGCTGTTACCTAACTTCTTTGAGACCCTATTTTCTACATGTACTATGGGGCTATTAACACTCCCTACCTGTGCTTGTGCAGAGTAACTGCTAAGTGATAGTTCTTGTCACCAGTGTTGTATAGAACCCAAGATGACTGCCTCATGGACCCAGACCTTAAACTGCCTTTCTTTGTCCCCTCTCCTCCTGTTCTTCCTTCTGCACTAGATGTAGCTGTCCCCACTTTCTCCTAAAACCCACACTCCGAAACTCCTCACAACTAATTCCTTCAGGAAGTCCTCTGCTCAGCAGAGAACCGAGCTTCACCTGAACTTGGAGATGGCTATGGCACCATGGCTTCCGAGAAGGAAAAAAGGTCCTGAGGATGGTGGAAGGAGGCCCAAGCTGGTGGGGAAATGGGCAGCAAGGAAGTAGATCCAACTGAGAGGAACCAGGCCTTTGCCACTAACATTTATATGAGCTTGACCTGTCCCCACCCCTCTCTGGGGCTTGTCCTTCTCTAAAAACTGTCTCACAAAGTGGCTATGTCCAAAGACTGCCCATTTCAAGCACTCCAGGGTCCTGGTGGGCGGGGTCCTGGTAAGGAGGAGTCCCTGTGGGAAGGGTGGGGTCCACACTTACCCCAGAGGCAAAGATGGCCGGATTCCCACTCTCCAGCATGTCCTCTAGTTCCTCACTGGTTGTGGTCCGGCCAGCTGCAAGCAGGGGTCCCAGTGAGTGCAGCCCAACCCAGCGAGCTCAGCAGCAGCCTTGCTCTGCACCTCAGTCTTGGCCCCACCCCTCAGCCCTAACCCCACCCCCTCAGCTTACTGATCTCCAGCTGCCTCTGTATCCGGCCTTTGCAGCGCTCCCTGTAGTCACACTGTGTCGCGTTGTACTCTGACATGACCTCCACAAACTTCCGGGACAACGTGGAGTGCTAGGGGTCCGAGAGACGGGTACAGGTGTCAGACCTAACCCCACGTGGCCCAAGAGTCTCAGAGGCCAGCTGCCCACTCAAGAGGCCCAGCCCCC